TAGGAACAAATATTGATTGTTTAATCAAAAATTAAAAAGCAATAATATTCCAAGTAGAAGTTCTAATAGTGGCACAAATCAGGTTACAGAGGGAAGGTAGTTCTTAGAATAAAAGGCCTATTGACTAGCACTTTGTCTATTATAGTATAAAGGTTAGGAACCACAAGATGTAGAGGCTCGGCTCTCAGGTGGATGCTGCTGTGTCAGCACACGGGAGCCTGGGTTCAAACTAGAAATAAACTTTGTTAATTCGGGGGAAAAAAAGGATGTAGAGGCTCAACTATGTCATTCATTGTTCTTAAGTCCTGGAGCAAATTCCATCGACCACTGGGTTGTTTTACAACTCAGAAGTCTGAATGTAAGGCAGAGGTGAAGTAAGAAACTGCTTATGAGGTTTTCTGTCAATTCCAACAACTAAAAATAGTGAGAAGAGTTGGAACCTCAGAAGGCTTTTAAGACCAAATAGTAGGCTCTTGTGTCCAGGAGAATGGAATATACTTACCAATAATGTTAATGCTCACCCACAGCTCTTCTGGGAGGATCTAAATCATTGAAGTGTCCTCCTTTGTTTCCAGCTGGGATCTGGGGCCTGTCAGTCCTGTCAGCCACGAGGACCTGATGTGGGCCACCCTTGGCCAAGTGTCCTTCAGATCCACTCTTAAAACAAGTGAGTGGGAGCTTCCTCTCTACTCCCTTGCCTATCTGTGACTATTGTCTGTGACACTGTCTACTGAAGTGGCCCAGCTTTCCACAATGGAAGCAATTCTGACCTCCTTTATTACCTTTGGGTGGCAAGTCTTTCTATCCATTCATTTGTTGATGGGCACACGAATTGCTTCCATCTCTTTGCTATTGTAAATAATGCAGCAATAAATAAGGGTGTGCATGTATTTGTTCGGATGGCATTTGTGGTTTCTTTAGGGTATATTCCCAGTAGAGGCACTGCTGGGTCAAATAGTATTTCTATTTCCAACTGTTTGAGAAAGCACCAAACCACCTCCCATAGTGACTGCACCATTTTATACTCCCACCAACAGTGAAGAAGTGTTCCAATCTCTCCACAACCTTGCCAGCATTTATTATTTGCTGCTCTGTCGAAGTTTGCTGTTATTACTGGGGTGAGGTAATATTTCATAGTTATTTTAATTTGCATGTCTCTGACAGGAATTTTGAACATTTCTTCATGTTTGTTCGACATCTGAATGTCTTCCTTGGTGAAGTGTCTATTCATATCCTGTGCCCATTTTGCTATTGGGGTTTTTTACCTTTTTCTTGTTGAGGTGGTGGAGCATGAGTATTCTATAACTTTTAGATATGAGTCCCTTATCAGATATGCCATTACCAAATATTTTTTCCCAGTCTGTAGCTTTCCTTTTTTACCTATTGGAAAAGATTTTTGATGTACGTATGGATTTGAGTCTTAAAAGGTCTCATTCACCTATTTTGTTCTCTCCTGGTTGTAGGCCAAGATTATAATCTTTACAGAATCAAACTGGCACATCTGCAGAAGGACTAGTAGGTTAGAACTGCTGATCTTTTGTTAGCAACTAAGTGCTTTTCCACTGTGCTACCAAGTCTCCTTTTTTAAATTTTTACTGAAGTTAAATTGTTATTAGAAGCCTATTCATCCACCCTATATTGTGTTTGTGGTAAGGTGTTAGAGGCCTTTAGAGGCACGCCAGCCAGTGTGTACATCCTGTCTACATCTCTAATACTTTATCAGTGATAGCAAACTTCCTCCTTACATTTTGTTCTTTATCTTATAAAATGGTACTTAGAGTATGACAGGTAATAATAATAACAATGAGTTTTCTTGTATGAATAATAGTTCTTTCATAAAAAATTGTTTTTCTGACTAATTCTTTTCTTCAAGAATATGAATACCCCCCAAAAAAAGGGAATATGAATACCCCCAATTTTGCATGTTATTGATAAAGGTATTGTCAGAGGAAAATCTGCTGTCATGGACCTTTCCAGAGTGCTGAAGAGCAACAATGTCAGTCTAGATACAAAGGTGCGCCTAATCCAGGCTGTGGTCTTCCCAATTACTTGTTATGCTTCAGAGAGTTGGATAATGACTAAGGATGACAGAAGAGTAGATGCCTTCAAGTTGTGGGGCTGGAGAAGAGTTTTGAACATACCATGATATGCTAAGAAAACAAGTAGGTCTATCTTGGAGAGGGTGGAACCAACTCTCTCCTTAGAGGCTAGGATTCTGAAGCTCTGCCTCACTTACTTGGGCACATGGCCAGGAGAGATCGGTCCTTGGAGAAGGACATCATGCTCAGAAGGGTGGACAGACCGTACAGGAGAGGAAGACCCCTGGTGAGATGGGTTGATGCAGTAACTAGGGCAGTAGGGGTTGGTGTGTCAGAATTAGTGAGACTGATTCAGGACAGGGCAGGGTTCAGAGCTGCTGTGCATGGAGTTGCTATGCATCGCAGGTGACTCAATGAACAATAACATACTATGACAGGTTTGGAAGCAGGAGTGGCATTCATTTCCTAAACAACTTGCCTCTGGAAACTCAATGAACTTTGATAAATGTTGTTAATTGTAGAGGGGCTTCAGGCCTTTTGTTCATAGGGTTGTGATGAGTCATGCTCGATTCAAAGGCAATCAACAACAACAATATTGTCAATGACGGTTATTGTCATGTGATGATATTGCTATAGAGAGAAATCCATGGGCCAGTGGGCATGTGTAATTTAAATTTTCATGATGGTTGCTATAAAATCACTCTGAAAAGACTGTTCCAGTTTGCAGTCACTTGAAGCATGAATGGCAATGTCATGTGCCCTCTATAATACTGAACATTTGTAGTTATTTTCATTTTTGCCTGTCTTGCACCTACTTTTTAGTGTTAAGTTCCTTCATGTATGTTTGAGCACACTATCAAACCTAACAGTATCCTATATAGGAATAATATGATAATAGCCAAAATAATTCTGACTCATAGCAATTCTCTAGAGCAGAGTAGAACTGCCACGAAGGATTACAAAGGTTGTAAAAAAATTAATAAGGATAACAGAAGAATCAATACTTTTGAGTTGTGTTTTTGGTGAAGAATACTGAATGTCCCATGGATTACCGAGAGAAAAAAACAAGTATATCAGAAAAAGTGCAATCAGAGTGCTCCTTAGAGGTGAGGATGGCAAATCTTCTTCTCACATTCGTTGTATATGTGGTTAGTTAGTCCTAGGAAAAAGACATCATGTTTGGAAAGGTGGAGGGTCAGCAAAAGAGAGGAAGACCATCAGAGTGGCGGGCTATTATAGCAGGTATATCAGATGGGGAGGATGGCACAGGATAGAATAAGGTCCAGATCTATTAGGGTTGCTATGAGTCGTACTTGATTTGATGATACTTAACAGCACCACCACGAATATTTACAAAAGCAGAGTATCACAGTTGTTCTGTGGGCCAGTTGTTGGGTTCACACAAACAGCTGACCTTTTGGTTAGCAGCTCAACTGTGGGCTGTTTGTCAGTGTGTGCCTTTTGTAAAAGTATGACAATTAGAGATTTTTAAATCACCTTTAATAGGTCCTGGTTCCTTTGAGGACTTAGTAAATGGCAGCTATTATTTTTATTATATAGTAGCACTGCTGTATTTATAGTTGGTGTAGAGATACACATAGTGATTATTGACTCTTCAGAAAGGCTTTATGTTAAGATCCTGCCTATGATCCTGATTAAGTTTTCATTTTTTTTTTTTTATAGAATCCCAAAACAAAAGAGCAAATTGAAAATCTGTTACGGAATGGGATGAACAAGGAGCTTCGAGATCGTCTTTGTTGCCGAATGACCTTTGGGACTGCAGGACTTCGTTCTGCCATGGGAGCAGGGTTTTGTTATATTAATGACCTTACAGTAATACAGTCAACACAGGTGATTATTATAGTGTTGTTATATGCATGCTTTCTCTTACTCAGATTTAAAAAAAAATGAGTTAGGTAATACTTTCTTTAAATATTAGTTTTATTTTAAGGAACATGCTCTGATGAAGTCTAAAATGCCCCTTTGTTCTTTCTTAACCCTTATTTTCAAAATCATTCGTATGTCTACAGGTTACCAGAAACTTTTTTATTTAGTGCATTTTGATTATTATTATGACAATGTTACTTCATATTTAGAAACAAAATGTAGATAGAAGATGAATAATCCTAGTTTGACATATGGCCGTTGATAAACATCAACCAAATTATTTGGAAAGCTTGGTTGAAAATATGTTCCTTTATCATGACTTTTTGTGTTCAGTTTTAGTTCTTTAAGACAATGTTGTTATGTGCTATCAAGTTGACTACAACTCTTAGCAACCTTACGAACAACACATCTGAACCCTGACCTATACTGTACCATTCTTACCATCTCTGATGTACATGGACCCATTGGTACAGCTACTCTACCAGTCTATTTTTCTTGCACTTACCTTCCACTGTTCTAAGCATGATGGTTGGGTTTTTTGTTTGTTGTTTTCCAAATACCATCCCCTCCTAACAACATGCCCAAAGTATGCTGGGTGAAGCATCACCATTCTTACCTCTAAGGAGCATCCCAGTTGTACTATTTTTCTGCAATTTTATCCAATTTATTTTTTAAACAGGTTTCTCTTTCCATTGTATTCTCTTTGCTACTTCCACGAGCTATCCTTTAGAAGTTAAGATTGTATTTAATATATATAGTCATGTGTTGTTTAATAACCATTATACCTTTGTGAAAAATAATGTTAGGTGATTTAGACATTGTATTAAGTGCAGTGAGTCCCCAGATCCTGAGCAAGTTTCATTCCTAAGTCTGCCTTTGAGTCTAATTTACACATAAGAACAGGTATAGTTCATTTTTAATGTTAGTCAGTCAAATGTTTGAGCAAATAATACATAACATACCTTTCTACACATAAAAAATTTTAAGAACTTTTAAATACAATAAGCATCTTTAATATAATATTACAGTAATGATAATAAAATTTTGATACTTATCACAAAGAAGCACTTGTTTTTTATTACAAACTATTGTATGTATCTCAAATTTTTAATAATAGGCTTTGCAGTTACCCAACAAAGCCTTGTGCAGTGCATGAATACACTGAAAATAGTTTAGGACTAGAATTACTCTGTGTACGTAATTCTGATTGATACAGTCAATCAGTAAATCAGTCAGTGTTAAACTTGTGGTGGTGTAGTTCTGTAAAGCCAAAGGCTAAGTTGATAGGATATAAACTACCTTGTCTCTCATCTTTTTTATTTCTCAACTACAGATGCTTCAGTTAATATTTTTTTTTCCCAAATACAAGTCATCCCCAATTTTGGACAGGGTTTCATTCCAATGGCTAAGCCCTAATAAGTTGGTTGTGATATTAAGCTGAATACATCTTTTTAAAAAATTTCATTAGTATTGACTTTTATTATTAGTATCTTTACAAATTTCACCTTTATTTGCTTTTGGGGATTGAAAGTACTACATATAAATATCAATGAGTGAACATTTGAAAACTATAACATCAGGAAATTATGCATTGTTAGCATTTTATTTTGTTGTTGTTAGGTGTCATCAAGTCCACTTTTACTTATATGTACAACAGATCTAAGCCTTGCCCTATCCTGTGCCATCCTCACGGTGTCCGCTCCAGCTCAGTGTTGCACTCATTGTACCGGTCAAGCCCAGTGAGGTTCTTCCTTTCCTGCCCTGACCCTCCAACCTTCCAAACACCATTGTTTTTTTCCAGGGACTGCCCCCTCTTGACAGCATGCCCAAAGTATGTTATTGTCTTTACCTCTAAGGAGCATTCTGGCTGCATTTTTCTCCAGCACTGATTTGTTTGTTCTTTTGGCAGTACATTCAATACTTTATTTTTCCTTTTCTTTTTAAAAAAAAATTATTATTCTAGTTTATTTACAAAATTTGAATATATTATTTTCCAGAACAGTTTCTACTCGTCCTTCACCCTCACTTCCCCCACCGCTTCCAGCACATACATACACATAACACACAGAGGTAGGTACATTGGGAAGGGAGAGAAAATAATTTCAAATTTTAACCAACCATGGACCAGAAGTCACTAGAGTCTGGTTTTGTGCTGTCACTTACATACTTAGTGTCTACCATGTACTACTAGCTCTTCAATAGTCAGTATAAATTAATTTCTGTTGAATAGCCTTGGGCAAGTCACTAAATGGAGCTTCAGTCTTATACAAACTCTTTTATGAAGAAATGTGGGGAGACAGAAATAGAAATGATATTTGCATTTTTCATTTTTCAGGATTATAATAAAAATTAAATATGACAACATTTGTGAAAGTGATTTAAGAAGATTGTAGCAATATGAAGTGTTATTTTCAAAGAATTAGTATTCATTTATTAAAGTTAGCAAATCATACATAGTTAAATGGTTTTAGTTTATCATTGTGTTGTGTTCAATGTTAAGTACTTCAGTCCTTTTTTTTTGTTTTTTGCTACCCTTAACTGCACACTTCTTAATTTGTGAGATTTCTTCTTCCATGAGATTTTAAATCACCAATGAGCTTTGTAATTCTCATTTGGAATTACAGATGAGATTGAGAAATGCCTAATAAGGAAATAGATTTTTTTCATGTTGAAATGCTTGCACAATAAATAGGTTAAATCTTTTAGCCTTAATCTTGAGATTTGGCAAATGATTAAAATAACAAAAACGCTATTCTCCACAGCCTGGAAGGCAAGAAATAATTTATTTTGGTCATGCTGACAATCTTTTTAGTGTAGTAATTCTTATGTCCCATTTTTGGTTTTGTTTTGTAATGTTTTATATGTTGTATCATATTAGTTGGACACTTATTTGAGAGTTCTATAATATTGACTGTCTGAAAGTCAAGGAGATATGTAAATTTGTCATCTTGTATTTGTGGACTGAACAATATTGTAAAAATGAAAATTAATAAATAAGATCATAAAGGAGCTGGTTACTTAGGAGCCAACAAGCTATACGTCAAACTTGAAAGTAATAGATTTTATGTCTTATAAAATGCAAGGTTTAGTTGGGAGGTAATCTTTTGTGTTTATCTGCTTCAGGGGATGTACAAATACCTTGAACAATGTTTCTCAGACTTCAAGCAGAGAGGCTTTGTCGTTGGGTATGATACCCGGGGTCAAGTAACTAGCAGCTGCAGCAGCCAGAGGTACAGTGTCAATTATTTTCAAGATTATGTTGAAGTGGAATAAAACTTTTTTTCTTTTTTTGGCACAGTAGTAGAATTTATGAAATAAGACTGTCAAATAAAAAATGTTCATTTTGGACCTGAAATAGTAACTACAGCATTTCAGACATAAACTTCAGATTTTATAGAAAGAAATAACATTTTAAATATTTAAAGAGATTGCATGTAGAGTATACACTGTGTTAGGCAGGAGTAATTTTGTAGCTTGTGTTTTTTCTGTATAGTCCCTATTATACTCATTTTCAGGTATATTCATACAGAGATAATCATAATAGAATAAGACCTCTTTTCAGGGTCTTATTTTCTAAAGTTAGAATTCCAGCATAGTGCAAACAGTTAAAATGTTTGACTGTGAACTGAAAAATTAGCAGTTTGAATCTACCCTTAGGTGCCTTGGAAAAAAAGCCTGGTGATCGGCGTCTAAAAACCAGTCACTAAAAACCCTGTGGAGCACAGTTCTCCAGTAACCGTGGGGTTGCCTTTAGTCTCAGTTACCTGCACAGGGAACTGGTCCCCCCATAACTCTCAGGGTAATTATGCATGTTAACTACTTTTCTGTGGTTTAATTTACATAATTAATTGTACATTATTTAGTTAAAGAGCTTTCAAAAATGAATTAATGGAAGAGGAGTTTAAATTGATAAGTATGTTCATTGTTAAATTCTTCTTTAACTCTTCTTTTTCTTTTCCCTTGTCTCTTAGTTGGAGTATAAAGCTTAATTAACCAGTGGTTCTAATTGGTTTTATTGGGTTTCTGTGTCTGTAAGGGGAAGCATTTCTTTTATAGAAAAGTAGTTTTAAATACAAGTAAAATCTCTCTCTTTTTTCTTAAGGCTTGCTAAACTCACAGCTGCGGTCTTGCTGGCTAAAGATGTTCCTGTTTACCTTTTTTCAAGATATGTTCCTACCCCTTTTGTAGTAAGTATATCATTTTAAAGAAGCTCTGTTGACACTGTGGTTTAACTACTAAGCTGCTAACTAAAAGGTCAGTGGTTCAAACCGACCAGCCACTCTGTGAGAGAAAAACATGGTAGCTGGCTACCATAAAGATTTATAGCACAAGAAACCCTTTACCTTATTGAGTCACTGTCAGTCAGAACTGACTTGATGGCAGTGGGTTTAGTTTTAGCTCATGTTGTAAAATTGATTGTATGATCTTTTTCTCTTAAAAAGTTTATTAGATCAACCAGTATTTAAATTCTTTTCATGTATATAGTTCTGTATTAAATTATATGAAGGACCAAAGAGGAGGAAACACATTTTGCCTTGCATTTACTTTCATTCAGTAAGCCTTGCATTTATTCCCATTAAATAAGCATTTTTTTGAAGGAGCACTAGCAGCCTAGTGGTAAGACATTGCTTTGTCAACCATAAGGAACACAATTTAAATCCACCAGCTGCTCTGAGAGAGTAAGATACGCAGTCTCCTCCTCTGCAGTTGAAAGTCTCTGAAAACCCACTGGATGGTCACCTTTGAGTCACTTCCAACTTGACAGTACACAAGCAGAAGCAGCCTTTGTTGAACCCCTTAAGAGCTTGATCTAAACAAATGGGCATATTCACAGTTGTGGTGAAATGTTTTGATGCTTTCCTTTCAGTAACTGATTTATCAAATAAAAATCAAATAGGATAGATTTGAACACATTATGAATAGGCTTGGTCTGATGTACATATCTCAAAAAACTTTGATTGCCATTAAATCAGAACTGTCTCTTAACTGATACCCCCACACCTGTTGGTTTTCAGATTGTAAATCACACATGAGGAGACTGTCCCTCCTCCTTCCTCAGAGCCACATGTGGATTTGAACTTCTAGACAGGCACCACCTTTCAGGTAGCAGCAATATATTGTTGTTGTTGTTGTTAAGTGCCGTTGAGTTGCAGGTGACTCATAGTGACCCTGTGAAGGAGAGTCCTCAATGCTTGGGTGTCTCTCATCCTCTCTCCAGGTTCATAGGGTTTCCGGAGGCAAGCTATTACGGAAGTGGATGCCACTCC